TTATGCGACGAGCCACAACTTGTGTTTGTTTAATGCAAAAACTAGAATCGTTTTCTAATATCAGTACATTTGCTGTTCTTATTTTGCTCTAATGAAATCCACAAGAATCGATGAATATTAAAAAAAATACCTGTTGGATCTAAACCAGCGATCGATTAAAAATAGCTATATTTTTTGTAGCTAAATGATGCAAATTATTGATTGCTGATATTTTAGTAGTTCGATTAGTGTTATGATGAAACAATATCTTACTATAATGTAATTAAAGGCAATTTGCATAGTTCTTCTTGTCATTTATCATTAACCAGCTGGCTCCATGACAAATGCATTGCACGTATCTCTCATAACTCTCAATATTTTATCTGATGGATGCGAAAATTAGTCAAACTCTTTCTGAGAATGAGTCTGCACTCAAAAATGGTTAATAAATAAAATTATTATATGCCTATTTCTTTTATTACAGTATGCACAAATCAGTTGTCAAGAGCTGTTTGAATGATTTGAAGAGTTATTGTATTGAGCACATGATATCCAGCAGTATCAGACTCCTCACTAATGAACTGTGATACAGTCACTGAGAGAACTGAGAGAGGGAGAGAGAGAGAGTCTTAGCATGCTATATAATGTCTTATGCGGAGGATGAATTGTAATTAGCTCACTGAAAAAGCCTTTTGAACGCCATCATTATTAGAGTCTGCCACTTTAAAGAGTCAGTGATAGATGCAAGAAGACAAACATTAAATCTATAATTTATGTTGAAAAGCATCAGAATTGCTCAAAAGGATCCAATTTGTAGCTTTCATGAAAAACATGCGAGAGCGTTCTAAAGATGGAAAGATTCTAAGAAGTGCTTTGCACCTCAACCCCAAATTATACTTATTTATGGCGACAGTGTTCAGCCTTGGCAATGTTCCCGATTGCAAAATGGCATGTCTTGGCCAAACACAGCGGTCACTTTAGGACTTTTAGTTACATTACAATATATCTCTCTATTCCAAATCTGGGCCCACATATAGATGTACCCCTTCTTCCAGAACTCACAAAGGGTCACTGTAAACTAGGCCACTGGTTACCTGTGTGGGTTGGTCTGTTTCATCCCTGCGCTTCAGTGAATAGAATGGCTAACTCGCATGTGAAATCACCACTGAGCTGTCACACTAAATCAGGAACAACAACTACAAAAAAACAAGCACTTTTTTACTGCATGGCCAGAAGTGACAGAAAAATAAGGCTCTGCTCCAAAAAGAAACTGGTTTTAAAAGAGACCTCATGAGTTATTTGTATCTATAACGAAAACCCAAATGGATAAATTGACAGATTTGTTTATGGTTGCGCAATATACGTAATAGCAATTCTTTGTTATTGTTTTCAAAAGCTCTTCTAACATATTGAACAGATCTGAAAATGTATCTGTAATGCTTCTATTGTAGTTTATCTTCATCTCTTACCTTGTTTTGCTGGAGAGTCCGATATCCTTCCGTTCAGTTGTCAAGACAAAGGTACATTTAGTGCTGATGTCCGGACGGCTCTGCTGGGTGCGATGAGTTCCTGTCTGTAATTAAATTACTGGTCAAAATGAATTGACAGGACCTTTATTTATCTGTATTGTGTATTCGGTCTATTTAGTTTTGCACAGAAATCAATCGTAGGTGCATTGCTGGCTGATAAGACACCTCATGCCTGACAAAATGTTGAACTAGGTGCCAAAATTAAGACATTTTTGACACTTTTCACCCTTTCTTAATACACTTCCCAGGTCTTATTTTGCAGTTCACATTATAAAAAATGTAATTAAAATGGTGAAGAATGATAAAAAAAAAAAATTATAATTCTCAATCATAATATGAAACAAGTTTTCGGCTGACATCACCAGGCCACACGGCCAGACAACTATTTCCATTAGTGTTGTAGGTAATGTAGCCTTTCTAGAATCTTTCCAATAGTTAACAGTAATATACAGCTATTTACTGAAATGATAGCAAACAACAATAAATATGAAGAATTGTTACCAGTGATATATGAAGAGATGCTCTTGAGAATGAACTTGACCTTTAGCTTCCATGTCCCAGTCAAAAAGCTTGCTCAAATGTGTGCCAGTGGCATTTCAGGAGGGTTCCTGATGGATAAAAGTCCATTTTTAACTAATTGAATATGAGTTATAGTTGGAAATGCATCACATTACAGAAATACAATAGGTCATAAATGCTATTTGGATTGTAATTCTGCTACTGCTAGTAAATATTGCTGCTTTTTTTGTATTGATGATTTTATGATTTCTCTCATCCTGTCAGTTTTGAATGGTCTTTCGCATTGAGATCTGTCCTTTCCTGCAGAGTTTAGTTTCAGTCCGGATACCCTCCTGTAATTCGCAAGCATCAATTACACATCTAATGTGCATTTTGTGGCACTAGTGCAAAAAAGCTTCCTGTCTAGGAACTGAAAAAGAGAAAAAGAAACATGTCACATTCATTTTATTCCGACCAAACTCACTTGAACGCACACCACATCATAACACGCAAGTAGGAACATCCCAGGAGAACTTTGGTGGGCATGAGGGTGGTCCGTTATCTAAAGGTTACATTAACAGTCATGCTTGTTGCACATTTTAATGCATCTAAAAGGAAACCAATGGGTGTACTCTTGTTCGTTTTAGGCCATAAGTAGTTATTTCTTTTTATTAGTTTTAAAACAGGCTTTATCAGCATATCTAACTGTACTGTGGTTTGTAAACATCGGTTGTCAGCCTGGAACCACTAGTATGACAAATGACTGATCAGTGATCCTTAACATATGCAGTCTAGGGTCTAAATTCTGAGCTTCATTATCATATCCTTTTTTAAATTTTTTATCCCATTTAAACTTAACATGAAGTTGTTATATATATCCTAGAAAGCATACTTAATTCAATTAGCTAAAAATAAAGGTTTATATGTTCAAACTAACACTGAAAGTAAGAAGCATTTCAGAAGGTCTGCATGCTGCTCAAAAGGCTGACATAAACATTGGAGCAGGCAGGTGAACTGGTATTATTTATGTAACCCACAGCACCCGGACACAGATGGTGTTTTCCTGTGAACGCCCCTTGCATCTTTATTTCCGCTTCTCACACAAACACATAGCCTACACACAGACGCAATCGTCCCCTGTGGTTACTGGCACTACAGGTCACCAAAGCAAGAAGACTATACAAACACCAACTGACACTTCATCATCACTATTCAATTTCAATTATTTTAGAAACAGGGCACTTTAGACATCCTGAACAGACAAAGATTTAAGTAAATAGAAATTCATTTTTAATTACAGACCTCAGGATTGAGAGTTTTCGGGTGAATCTCACAAAACATCTTCATTTTACCTAAAATAAGAAATTACATTTTGGATAAAGACAATTAAACCTATTTTAGGACCACTCCGGGCTACACATGCTCAATTTTCTTGCCAATGCTTTTTTAAAGCTAACATGATAAATTCAGATCTAGCCCCTGAATTTCAGCATCACACAAAATGCATTTAAAAATAGCATTCTTAATCTGAATAAAGATCTTTATTTACAAGGCTCTGAAAACTGCAACCATGTCTGCAGCCAAGTATAACGCAGTTAATATATTCAACTGCAACTGCATTGATTACGCAGCTAAATGTAGATGCGCCCTTAGCATGTATTGACTCGCTGTCGTTTAAATGGCAAATAAATTCCGCATGACAGTTGCATTCTTTTAACCTTCGCTCCTCTCGCTTCATGTGGATGCCATGCTTGACCCACTGGCTTTTATTCAACAGACTGTCTGCTGCCATTTACATGACCTAGCTGAGGAACCCTTAGAGACAAGCTGCCATACAATGTCAAAGTCATAATTTCAGGGCATCACTGCGTCCTCGACTGTTGGTCATGTGTGTGTGTGAGTGTGTAACAGTCCTTATCACAGTCATCAAGGTTGGGGGGGGGGGATGCTGTATCCTCTAGCGCCGCACGCATACTATTTATAGACCGGCTTCAAATTCGAACAACCTGCGCTTTGAGACATGGAAAGAGAGATCAGGAAAAACAATGAAATGTTTCATAGTGGGAAATTAAATTTGCATGTTTGCCACTCTCTTGTTAACATCCACTTGCATCACTTTTTTGCCTGTCTGTCAGATCGGAGTGAGTCACGTCCACAGGGAATCAGGAAAAACAGGAGCTAATTACATTTGTAATCAACTTTTTATGGCCTCTGTTGGCCTTCGCTTGAATGGCTTGCCACACCTATGGCTAGCACATCTGAGGATCTCTTTTAGCCACTATTTTAGCCAAGTAATCAATGAAACACATTTTTGCCATATACAAGGATGTAACCAAATACTGGGTTTAAACGTTTAAGAATTTGACATTAAAAAATCAACAATCAGCCACTAACTTGAATATTGGGAGGAACAGCTAGAACTGTTTTTGGCGAGTGGTGTGCATGCTTTCTATCACACACGCCCACCCCTATGTTGACATCTATACACCTGATAGGAAGGGCTTGATGAATGCAAAGGGTTTTTAGCGCTGCTGGCTCAATGACACTAGAAGGGTTTTACTCACAAAAGGTAAGTGTAGATATCAAGCTATTCCCTCTTGCGTTCTTCAGATCTGCTGCAAAGTGTTGACATTTTGCAAACAATTACATTCTTATCGAGATAACACCTCTGTCTCTTCTCTCAGTTTTTGCAGAATGAACAAAGAGCTTCAAGAACTCCGAGGACAATATAAGCATTCATAGTTGAAGGTCATGATCAAGTGTAGCCATTACTAGAAGAAGAATATATCTTGACAGTATTCAGGATGATTCTGCTGACTTTATCTGAATCTGTGATTCTTCCACCTCATTCCAGAATCAGTTATGGATAACAAGGCAAAAACACGCTCTGTGTCCAGACTCTGATTTCAAAGAAACCGGCAGACGCTTGACAGCCCTGCTATGGAATATTTTTGGACCTCTCAACTGACTTGATTTCTTTGTCTCTTCAACCGGCAGACGCTTGACAGCCCTGCTATGGAATATTTTTGGACCTCTCTGGTGTCAACTGACTTGATTTCTTTGTCTCTTCAGTTTTGTCTTTCTCTAAACCATGCTGGAAAAACCCAAGTAAGTTCTGGAACTGAGTGCGGACAGTGAAGGGAGATCCTCATTTAGCATGCACTGAATTTGCATATTGTTGTATTTTAGCATTATCTGCTTGTCATAAATACATTAGGGTGTCATATCATGGACATATGTTAAGCTTTCCGTCAGGACTCAGTTTTGCTTCTGTGGTCTTCTAATCAGCATTATGTGCTGCAAGCTCCTGAAAAGATGAATTTAAGCAGTCCTTGTTGGTGAAAAACAAACACAAAGCAGAAAAACAAGGGCTACCAAGGACGGTGCTCAGGTACTGCTCCTATAGCATACTAAAATTAGCTTAATTTGAACATTTGCACCTGCTTCCTGGCTCTTCCAGTCCTCTCGGCTGTGGCTGCACTCCATCTCTCAGGATGAGCCAGAAGTCTGACTCGGAGACTGAGGGCTCCCAGGCACCAGTGATTTATACAGTGGAGGAACTGGAGTGCAAGATCTGCTACAATCGCTTTGACACCCGAGCCCGCAAGCCCAAGGTGTTGAGCTGCTTGCACCGCGTCTGTGCCAAATGCCTCAAGAAGATGGTAGAGCTGGACTCGTCTCCGAGCATCATCAGCTGCCCCTTCTGTCGCCATGAGACTCACGTCCCCGATGAGGAGATCTGGTTGCTTCAAGATGACAGCAACATACTGGCCATTCTGACTTACCAGGACCGGGCACGTAAGAGCCGCACCACACCCAGCGGCGAGGTCCTTTTGACGCCCAACAGCCTGAGCGGAGGCGAGCAGGCCCACAGCTCCTCCGATTGCCTCGTCATCACAATCATGGAAGTCCCTGGAGAGTCGCAGTCCTCTGACTCTATGAGCATGTTGAACATGGTGCGCTTGTATCGGCCGGCCAGCCTGGACTCCTTGCCTTGCCACCTGCCCGTGCAGAAGTGCCGGGCGTGGACGTCTCATTCGGTTCCTCGCTTTTTGATGGGTTTCCTCTGCCTGGTCTACTTCAGCTCGCTGCCACTGGGGATCTACTTACTGATGATCCAGCAGCTCACGATGGGAGTGATCTTGGTCAGCCTGGTGCCCTCCACCCTGGTCCTTTGCATGTTCTACGGCTTCTGCCAATGTCTGTGCCATGAGATCATGGAGGCCATTGCCACATAACACACCACGGTTGGTCTTTGGGCTGATCTTTGGACTAGCAAGACCTGTGAAAGAACAAAAGCCAAATGACTGATGCATATCTGCTAATCCCAGACACCCAATTTTTTCCATCGCACCAGATTATACCAGCATCTACTCCTTGTAACTCACCTCACATTGTATGCAGGGCCAACTATACTTGACTTTAGCAGTTAAAGCTTGATTACCAATGCAAGCTGGAGGTATTGATTTTGGACTGCATCAGATCGCTGTGGTTTTGTATCGTGTCTAGCTCACCCAATGGGTCTTCAACAACTGTGATATAAATAACATGCAACATGCAGAGAATGAAGTCTGTCCACTTTAATATGGAAACCACAGGATGTGTTCAACAATGCTAAATGAATTTGTTCACTTTCCATTATCTTATAAATATCTGTAGTATAATTTCAATCATTGTCTCAATGTTCTCGTTGAAGTTTCTAGTTGCCTTTGTAAGGCATATCAGTGGCCAAGCTGTAATGTATATGTAAAATAAGTGAATTTGTGTTTGTCATTGCTATGAGAATGAACAAATACTTTAAAGCCACCTGTTAGATAATCAATAAAGATCCTTCCATATCTAACAGAACTCTAGATTAAACAATGAAGTACACTTACCATACTTGAACACTGCTTGAGTATCGTTCTAGACAAGGACAATGACAAAAAGATGCATTGGATTTTCATTGCAATTGGCATCCTAAAATGAATCTAGTAATTGATGAACCTTACTTTATATAAAAGGAATACTCCTCCTATATCACAATTTTGAGTGTGAAGCAGATTATAATTATGACTGAGGAATTATGTCAGTGCCTATTACAGCTTTGCTGTTTTGCTAACTGAATGAGTTAATATTATTGGTGTTGCTCAGGAGACTTGACCCATGGGAGCATACGTGTTGCATCAAGCGACACACAGCTTTCAAACAGGCCCAAGTAACCACAAGTGAGTCAATAATGGATCCACGTCTGTTCCTCCACAATACCATACCCCTCTCCCTGTGGACAATTAACTTCACATAAACCACTGTGCACAGCACACACACACTCCCACAAGCACACATATATACAGATAACCGCACATAGAAATTCATTATGCATGGATCTCTTGATCGAAAACCTTGTCCTCCCAACACTGCATGTGTTTCTGAGAAAGAAAGAACTTTGACATAATGATCTACAGCGCAAGGTATTCTGGGAGCATGAACTGCAAGGTTTGGGCCTAATTTTAACAAGTGTCCCTGAAGACCGGCCTCTATAAAAGCTTTGGAAAAAAGAACATAGGTGAGCGTACAAATACAAGGAGGTTGGCAGAAGTGTCTCAAACAGATGTAATCACGCTGAGAAGCAGGAATGTCAAAACAACTTGCAAGTTTCCGAAGACTATGAAATCATACGGATATCTTTGAGGCTCAGTTTCCAGTAAGTGGCTTTTCTCTTTTATAAAATGTTTGGCATACAAATGCATATAGCATTTGAATTGAACATTATCACTTCAAAATGATATCAGAAATAAGGTAAAATAAGAATACATGTTGCAAAGTGGTGCAACGGTTCTTTAAAGAGAACTAAAAAGAAACCAGGCTAATAAAGGCGGCAAATAATTTCTTTAAGCAAAATAAATGGTTATGGCCTATTCATTTAATTGGGATTAGATTGAGAAAAAAAAAGAACTACAAGTTTGATGTATTTAAAAACTTTATACATCCAGTGAAGTCCAAAACTACACCATACATAATTTCAAATATTTTAGTTCAGAATGGGCCAGACCAATTTTGATATTGAGATCAACAATAACTCTTACATTTTCTGCATATCTTTGAGGCTCAGTTTCCAGTAAGTGGCTTTTCACTTCTATAAAATGTTTGGCATACAAATGCATATAGCATTTGAATTGAACATTATCACTTCAAAATGATATCAGAAATAAGGTAAAATAAGAATACATGTTGCAAAGTGGTGCAACGGTTCTTTAAAGAGAACTAAAAAGAAACCAGGCTAATAAAGGCGGCAAATAATTTCTTTAAGCAAAAGAAATGGTTATGGCCTATTCATTTAATTGGGATTAGATTGAGAAGAAAAAAAAAAAGAACTACAAGATTTATGTATTTAAAAACTTCATACATCTAGTGAAGTCCAAAACTACACCATACATAATTTCAAATATTTTAGTTCAGAAAGGGCCAGACCAATTTTGATATTGAGATCAACAATAACTCTTACATTTTCTGCAAAGTTTAGGTCGTTCACCACACGAGTGGTAATGAGTCGCTGGCGGCAGTCAGTGGTGGAAATCCAAACCAGAAAGAGGCAGGTGAATGAATGCGAGCGGGCACAGGCCGCCCTGAGCAAAGTGACAGCCTGCTTCCAGCAAATGGCCACCTCCTTGGGGAGCAACATGGATGGGAGCTTCCTCAGAGAGGAGCTGGAGGAAACCAGGACAGTAGCTCATAAAATATGCTCAGGTAAGACTGGACAAGTAGAAACAAGACAAGCAGGAAGCAGTTTGGTGATGCTAGTGGTGCAGAAATTTTACATTGCCCTTTCAGTATTTTTCTGCACTGCAAAAACTAGAAGCTGGCCATATTCAATTATGCCACATTCAAAGCGTTGATAGTTGACTTGTTCGACTCATGTTTCAGGGCTTCACCGGAGGCTGCTAAGTCTGCTGATAGAAATGGAGCAAGGACAAGAGGACAAAGAACAGGTTGAACGACTTTGGGTGATCTTTTTGTCCAGCTTGGAAAACTTCCAGCAGGACCTAAAGAAGGTCAAAGTCTTGCAAGAGATATTCCCTCTGACCCAGCGCAAAGATCGACAAGCCCTCGTCAACACAGGTTATGTGGGTGGAACTTCGGAAGTAGCAGCTCGGGCAGCCATGGTGCAAACGCCATGGTTATCAGTAGAGGAGACTGCAAGCCCAGACCTGAAGAACCACATAGTGGAGATTGATGTTCTGCTTGAAGAAATGTTTCAAAGAGTTAATGTTCCACTGTGGTCTGTTGAACCCACACAACCAAGCTGGTTAGAAGGCGTTTCTACCCAAGATGGTGGGCAAGA